CTAAAGTCCTCTATTCCTTTTCTTTCTTTTTTTCTTTCTTTTTATTTTTTTTAATTTATTTATTTATTTATTTATTTATTTGCTTCCCCAGCCCACCCCCCAATCTCTCTCTTTCACTCTTCCTCATCGTCCTCCGCGTCTGGCTTTTCCTGGCTATTTGAACCAGGGCAGGCGGTTTTATTTTCTTTTTTCCACTTCATGCGTCTATTCTGAAACCAGATTTTGATCTGTCTCTCTGTCAGGCACAAGGCATGGGCGATTTCGATGCGTCTCCTCCGCGTCAAGTAGCGGTTATAGTGGAATTCTTTCTCCAGCTCCAGGGTCTGGTACCTGGTGTAGGTCTGCCGGCCCCGCTTTCTGTCGGTCCCTGTGAAACAATACAGGAGAAGTCAATGAACTCTTGGGCGGGTGAGATTCCAGAGACTGAGACATTCATATACATATACATATACATATACATATACATATACATATACATATACATATACATGTATGTATGTATATGTGCATATATGTATATATACGTGTATACACACACACATGCTCATATATACATACACATGAATGTGTGTGTGTATACATATATATGTATACACACACACAAACACATACACATGCTCACGCACACACGTGTATATAGATACACACACATAGGTATTAACTAGCCCTCGTCATAACGCAACTACTTCAGGCACGAAGACTTTCATCCTCAACTGCAGCCGATAGCCCAAACTGCAGTGAGCTCCGACAATTTAACCAGCTAAGGATTCGACCTTCCTTCACCCCCTCTCATTTTGCAAGATTATTTCCTTCTCCCTTCCTGCCTCCGAACCGGCACTTCTCTAATTGTTTTCAATCTGGTCATGGGGGGTGTGGATGGAGGGAAAGCGTGTCCTTATTTTATCTGTTCGGCTAGAGGAGTGGAGAGGGGACTTCAGAAACTTCTCTATTACTTTAATATCAACCAGATGCTTTCCTCTTTTTTTTTCTTCCCACTCCCTCCCATCCCTTACTCCAAGACATTTCTAATGATCAAGCAAGGAAAGAAATACACGCTTTCTTTAGAGAAAAGGCTGTGTTCTACATTCCCAGGCAACTATTTGTCCTCTCTTAAAGCTGTCATCGGGAACCTCGTGTGGACGGTGTGTAATATTCTTAATTATTTAACGGAATGCCTTGGATATAGCGCCGTTCCCTGGGTCTCCTGGAAGCCAGTGGTTGACACGGATTATGTTACTCCGGCAGATGAAAGCGTGTGTGTGTCTGCCTGTGTGTGCGTGTTTTGTTTCGTTTTGGGTTTTTTTGGTTTGTGTTTTTTGGTTTTGATCTGTCAGAAAGATGAGACAGCAATACCCAAGCATTTGGGAAGAGGAATATTTTGATATACATGGGAACCAGATAAAACAAAGACCCAACAGTTATCCATTCCCCCCACCACAACTATTTAGAGGTCTGTGAAAGGAGATCTGGAAGGGACTCAGAGCCACATTTTTCGTGCCATTTGTTGGAGTTCAATTGGAAATAATTATACAACAACATGATGCTTGTGGTTGATGTCCCCCCTCCCCTACTTTCCCATTGCGACGTGGATGGCCAAGATAAGTCTTCGCCATCTCTCTCAAGCATTCCACTGGGCTCTTTTTTATTATTTAAGGGAAGAAAAGAAAGTGTTATTCAAGCAGAGGGAGAGAAAAAAAAAGTGAAGTAGCCAGGCTGGCTGTGAAAAGGAGGCAAGAAAGTAAAATGTGCAGGTCTGTGGAATGCGGGTTGTAAACTCCGCTGAAGGAAAAGCCATAAACCGCTGGTGAATGGGGATCTCTGAGACTGTCTCTTCTAGCTGGTGAGAGTCCATAAGCACAATCACACAGTGGGCAACCGGGGAGGGGGCGAGGGGGAGGCCGCCCTCAGGAGCAGGTAGCAGGAGTTTTAAGGACAGCAAGCCACGAAATACTTAACACTAGTACTTCAGGTTTATAAACCGGCTTCTCCTCCAGCAGGCTTTGGAGTATTTGAAAGCCATCCCTCGCCTTGTTGCTACATAATGTCACATGTTAGAAGGAAGGAGGGGAGTCCTTAAATCTAAAGGCAGATAAAAGCAGAGATGAAGTGTTTACGACCAGAAATATTTGGTCTTTGATAAATCAACTGTAAAAGTGAATGAATTATGGAGCAGGTAATGGAAAATACTGACCACCAAATCAGGGGCAAGGTAACTGGTGCCTTTGCTAGCTGGGTTTCCCCCTTGCCTTTTGCATTCACGTCGGGCTGGGGAGTTCTTCCCCTCTCTAGTTTACTAATAAGACATTTTCGGAATATTTGGCTTAAAGTGAACTCATTACTTATGACGCTATCAAGTTGCAATCTGGCAAGTCAGAAGGAAAGCGGAGCTTCCCAGCGGCAGCGGACGGAGCTCACATGTCCCACGGTACTGCCAATGGAACAGCGACTCACCCCAGCCCCTTCTCAGGGAAAACCAGAATAGTAATAAACACCATATCTTCCCAGGATAATGTGCTAGTAGTGGCCTGAGAAAGCCTCGGTCAGACTGGGAAGCAATTTCTCCCTCGGAAGTCAGCGAGATTCCCAGCCTGCTTCTTTTAATTCTTGAAATTCATCCGGTTTATTAGGATCCCAAGAAGATGTCAGAACTCTATCTCTGGTAATGAATATGGATATTTATTAAATGTTAATTGACACTAATACGCGGAGACGGGGCATGTTGGGGAATGAAATATCTGTACGCCAGCCGGTATGGTGCATTAGCCAGATTTGTATTTTAAATACATATGCTAAGTAGGCATCTTCACTTAATGAGACCGCTGTCCCGCTCCCCGGTCTGGTAGGGAGGAAACACGCATTGCCATGGAGCGGGCTTGGGCACCGCAGTGACAACATCGAGGGAGTCTATCAACTTTTGGGAGCTGGGACAAGCACTTTGGCTAATAGGCTCAATGCAGTCCCATTACCTGCAATGGACAATGAGCAAGCATAAACCTCGCAGCCCCGATTGCCCGGCTGTTCCGGCGGATCCCGTACTCATCACAGACGAGTCATCCCCTCTCCCTGTCTTTGGCCCCTCTACTCCCACCCCTCCCCACTTCAACCCCTTCCCCAGTCCCACCTTCGTGAAAGCAGGGCTCCAATTGCCCATGCAGTGATGTGCTGCGGTTCCTATTACAAGAATGGCAACATGCGAGGCTTTAACTGCCCCGTCTGCAACGTTAGGCTGGGGTCTGGGCACGCCAAAAGCAAACCCACCAGCCCTGCCAGCCTCCCCCAAAGAGTTTCTCTAGGAATATAGTGGAGGCAGTTCATTTCATTCAAATCTGAACCCTGAATCTAGAGGGGGTAGGAAGAGGATGGTCATGTTTTTTCACAGCCCAGGAAAGGCAAAGCGCCTTTTGCACAGCGCACACGCACACGCGCGCGCGCACACACACACACACACACACACACAGAGCCTCAGGAGCTCTAATAAATATTTAAAGCTAAAAGGATGGCTTTAAGGTGGGGGTCTCTCTCCCTCTCTCTCTTGATGGAGAGGGAGAGCGATTCCTTTTTAGGCGAAACGTCACAAACCGAGTTGGGGACAATCCCCCCCCTGCCTCCCTCCCCTCTCCCCCTTGCAACGCCATAAAATAATTTACACCCCCCCCCAGGCGCCTTCCCTAAAGGAGCCTTTGCACTTACCTGTACTCCTCATCCAGGGGTAGATTCGGAAGTTACTCTCGTTTTGCAAGTCTGAGTCCCTCTGATCCGTTTTGTTGCAGTTCTGCTTGGAGGCATCTCCGGGGCACATCATTGAGAGGTTTTGCTCAAAGGGAGAACAGTGCATGTTGAAGGAACTGCTTTCCAGGCCGTAGCTGGTGGAGTACATGCTAGCGGGCTGCGGGTGCATGCTGCTACCATTGGTGTATAACCCAGGCATGGAGGCAGCGAAGGAGGAACTCGACCCAGAGCCATAACCCGTTCGTTGGGTGTTGGAGGCAAAAGCGCAAGAAGTTTGCTCAGGAAAGACTCCGGATGGGAAAACCGAACTTGCGGGTTGATATTTAGAAAATAAAGCATTCGCATAATACAATGAACTCATAATTTGGCCGGGTGATTTGTAGGCCGGGACGTTTTAGTGTCGGTTTTACGAGGTACCGTGATATATTACGGAATTAGAGTCCAGATTTACACCAAAAAGGACCCCTTTTTCCTCCCTGACCATGTGACTCCGGGGCACGTGATTTTGCCAGCTCCAATCAACGGCCAGCTCCCCCACTGGCTCCTTGTAATGTGGAAAAAAAAATTGTAGTACTGTTGGATTTATAAAATATGATAAATAATTGATGGGATCTAAACCCTCCAAGATCTATGCGAGAAGGGGTGGAATTGTGCTCGAGTCGATAAGCAACTTGTAATCAGTTTTCAACTGAGACGAAGAAAGGAAGAAAGAGAGGGAGAGAAACAGAGAGAGGGGGAAAGCACATTGGTGATAAACCAGCCTCTCTCTCTCTCTCTCCCTTTTTTTTGCTGGAAGAAATAAATGAACGGAGCCCTATTTATTCTTTTTATTGATTCCCTCTGAAATCTCTTCCTTCGCCCCATTTCACTGTCTTTGTCATAGTTTTTCACGAGACTACATAATTTCCCCCTCCCCCCTCTCCTAGCTCTAGCACCCAAAAGACAAATGTCTCATTGATACCTATTACTTTCGGGTTCCCCCCCCCTCCCCAAATGCCATTCAGCTCTATATTTAATTTATTCCAATGCCACAGGCGTCGAGCTACGCATTGAGCTGGCATTTGCTCTTTTTTTTTCCTTGTTGCGAAAAATAAAAGACTCTACAGATCCCTTGTTCAGCGTGTCAGCGGTTCTGGGGGAGCCAATTACAGTTACAAGTAAAACGTTACCAGCTGGCTGACTTGCTTTCTGCTGGGGAAGCAGACAAACCTTCCAAAAAAGTAACCTGTCTCATTTATTCCGAGGAGGTGGAAGGGGTGGG